TCTAAACCAAAATATATGGATTGTAAACATAAATATCTGGACTGGAGGCCAATCATCGTGACGTGATATCATATATCAGTTATCAAGTAAAGACATTAAATGCCATATTTTACAGGAACAAAATAAAAACAGCAAACACTAGCCGATTACAGAATAAATAAAACACTGACCAATATATGATATCCTGTTTACGACAATCCACAAATCGTGAAGTAAATGTCCCGCCGGTTGTGGGCAAACTACTATCCGTTGCCTGGAAAGACTGCCACTGAATCAGGTATCTGTGGCGGAGCGCCCGACATCAGATCAATATAGCATTCATCGGCCTCTCAATACTCCGCCCAAGTAATAAACTAAAGGTTTTATAATACCCCAGATGTTGCAAAGACAATCCAAGGTGCTGTCATTATTTCACTAGCGTCCTTGATCATGACGTCCAGCTGTGGCAAGGTGAAGATAGCGTTAAAGGTTCATCTTCACAGTCAGCAACCTTCTAACACATAAGGTTATGACTGATGACACGTTTTCTTGTAATAATGATTATAGATTTTAAGACACTTGTGATCTGGAGATATTTCATGTGTCGACATCGACCTTTCATCCTGACAAAAGCAGATGTGTCTTTCTGAAAGCTGGTTATAATGTTTCCTGTGTCGTGCCAAAGATGATATCATAGATGGGTAGAATGATCGGTTGTAAAACGAATGTTCTTTCAGTGATTCTCGTGGAGGCTGTGGGGTAGCGTAGTGGTTAAAGTGTTCGCTCGTCACGCCTAAGGACCGGGTTCGAATCCCCACATTGGTGCTATATGTGAGGTTTGGAGGGGTTATTGGAAGGAAGGTGGAGCGGGGGAATATATGAGGAAAATACGAAATGTATTCAAACGTAAAACACTAGCAAATACATATTACATCTCATATCACGAATCATTACGGTCGAGGTTAACATAGTTTCAAAGCATGTTATTTTTCAAACGTATTCATCTCGAATATACCCAGGAATTTCCCGATGTCTCTTGGAGAGTTACAGAAATCGAGGCAACGAAAGTTTGACACAATGTTTGACAAAGTGAGAAATGTGGCTAATAATAACATTCATTCTCCTGGTCGTATGCATGTAAGCGCTTCTCATGTCTCGGGAGAACCAACCCCAAGTCTGTTCTTTTGGACAATACGAATCCCGTCCTCATTCACAAGCATATATGTACTTCCTCGTACGGACGTCTGTCGTGACATTGTGGGCTAAGCCCGTGACTGTCATGCAGAATTTTCCACAGTGATATGATCAAGCGATTATGGTCTTCTATCCATAAGAAACGATAATTACGTTACTCTCATAAGCCAAAAGCCATTTCCCAATTACTGGAGTTATACATAGTTGTACTGGAAGGATGCTACTGGGCACATCGTCCTGGTGAATTACAGCCATACTAGAAGTTAGATCTTGTCTGCAAGTTAATTCAGAGCACACATTCCTGTCACACACACTTTCAGTTAGAAGCTTGAAGGTAAAACATGTCTCTTGGTCGTCCTGCATTGAGTCTCTGTCGTACTTTCGTCATTGTTATTCGTGAACGTTACCAGCAGCGAAGCTGTGATTAACAGCTTTCTCTTGTCAATTCATGAATCAATGGATATCACGTTTCGATGGCGATTTCAGTGTGAAATTACTTTTTGTTAGCGGGAAACAGGTTTTGATTATCGTGAAAGCAAAGGCATGGAACATGTTGTTGTCAGTTTTCAATTGTTTTGCACCGTTTTCATTTCTTTAATTGCATCAGAATTTTATGGGTTTGATTGTGTCCGAACATCCAACATTTTGAAGCAGGTGTTTCTTTACATCATTCTTTTAAACGAACCCACTAACGTCACAATCTGCCATGTTTCAACGATACATGTGACCTGTCTGTCAAGAGAATGTTTGATATTTTTTTATGAATTTTTAAGTTTCTCGCTGTTAACAACTGATAATGTACTGTTTTCCAGTTGTGAATGGTTTCATAGAACAGAGACGTAACCAGTTTTTGAAGTGTTGACCCCAACGGCAAGGTTCGTGTTCCATTTATTGGTGAGGAATAGCGTTATGTTTCCTCCGTCAAACTAGTAGGACTTTGATACCAAATGAATCCTCACTTACTCGATTCGTAAACACGTGGTGTCGTCACTAATTTCCATTGATGAATTTATGCAAATGTCGCCACTCCTTGCCTTCTGGGCACATTGTTTGTTGTTTAACGCTGCACTCAGCAATATTCCAGCCATATTGCTGTGGTCTGTAAATAATTCAGTCTGGATCATACAATCCAATTAACATATTATAATCTACGCAATTGGCATACAATGACATATACTCTCCAAAAAAGAAACGCATAGGCGTGTTGTATTTTTAAAAATCTATTAATTACCTATTGTGTTCAAACAATCGTCAAAATATGTAACAAATGTGTTAATAACATGATTTTCAACAATTGCACAAGCGAAAATTCGACTTTACCTGAAAATGTTGATTTTGATGAGATTTCTTACAAGAATTAAAAAGAGCATGCACTGTCTGGCTATAAAAAAACAGACTACCTTCGAAATTCGGCATCCGTTTTGAAGGAGTTTCAAGGTCAAATCACTACGCCAAGTCTTGACGCTGCGACTCGGAACATCGCCATTGAAAGAATGCACGCTGGATGCCTGTTGCCAGGCGTCTGAATGTTAGTCTGAGCACGATATCACGGCTTGCAGCTCGTTGCAGATAGTGAATGAGTGAGTGTGTGAGAGAGATATAGCAAGAGAGAGTGCGTGTGTGCGGTTGTTTATATCATTTTCGCATTTCTGTGTTATGAGAGACGCTAACTCGGAGTGTCGCTCAACTGTGGGAGGTTTCAAACCACCTTATTATTTTATATGTTTCACATCATTAGCAACATTCTAAAGTGTCTGGATTTTCTACTTGAAAAAACACAATACGTACAACACATACAAACTGAATATGGTTACTTTGATCAGCAAGAGAACAAATATAGTCTGTCTACTTTGGTCAACAAAATCTAATGAAAATATCACGTTGGTGATTATTTTCTTCGACCTAAACATTCAACCTGATAATGTTTCACGGCACCCTTTGTTCCTCGAGACGAGGATGTCAATCAACCTTTTCTTTCACTGTCATGTAAAACGTTTCAGATACTCTTTACCCTTCAACGGTATATATTTGAAACATCGAAGAGCATATAAAAAAGTCATTTCTTTCTTACTGTCAATCGAATTAACATTATCACATATTTACTATTTCATGTTCTTAATGTTGATATGTCGCGTAAAGATGTGATCATATTGATGTCTGACGACCAGACAATACAACGTCCTATTAATAAGTATGGGTCAAGGTAATTTCTTATGTAATCAATCATATTTAGACGGAATACATTTACGGCAGACATAGCATGTTAAAAACAGCCCATTGGCACAAATGTGTGGTTCTAGCTTCTAAATGCTTGTTGTTGTTAGTGCCATTCTTTCTTTGTTGTTTGTATTTAACGAAACAGGCAGCTTTTTATATTTACAACCACAGGAATTATATTTTTGGTAAAAGCAGAGCTCGCTGACATGGTTGACACATGTTGCGTCCAGTTGCGTAGATCGATGCTCATGCTGTTGATCACTGAATTGTCTGGTCCAGCGTCAATTATATACAGATCGCTGCCATACTGCCATATAGCTGGAGTATTGCTGAGTGCGGCGTTAAACAACAAACCAACCAACAGACAAACAAACTAAAAGCAGAGTTGCTCATACAATTCCCACAATGTCCTGAGCATGTGTTTATGAATCACTTTGAACAAATCACGATACCGAGTGTTCAAAAAATATTCTGAAAAATTTACTGAGGCCAGTCACTGAACAAGGACCGAAAACACTCTTAGAAATATTGGAAACAGAGTTGGTTTGATTGTTCCTTAAAAAGTGTGAAAGGCTGGATCCTTACTGCTAAGGGAAAAGCTGACTCATGGAAAGATGAGTGTGTGTTTATGAGTCCCTTTCACATAGTCATAATACTAGGTGTGTCACATAGTCATTATATAGGGTGTTGACGAAACCGTGAGCCTTTGCTGTCACGTTTGTAGCACCTCTCACAAACACATGCAAATGGAAGTCAACTGTTCACCCGGAGAATCAGGAGAGCGTGTGGGGCGAGTCAATATAAGAAACTAAACCCTACACTGATTCGTTATATTTGAATTTTACCTCCATATATGTACCATGATCATTTTCAAAGCGTTGAAGTATGTTGAACAGTTGTATAATGCTCTGGGCAGAAAAATGCAATCATATACTTTAAGGGGTTGGGGCAGTGGGCTACTCGAGCAGTTAAAACGTTTGCTCGTCACTTCAAACACGCAGTTCGATTCCCAGGATACAATGCGGTGTTGTCCGCCTTTACAATGCTGTTATGTCCCCTAAAGTGGCGTAAAACAATACTCACAAACTCACTTAAAAAGCATTTACACGTGTGACATTCCAGTTGTACAAGATGAGGCTGAAATATGTTGAGATTACTAATGTTTTGAAGATGTGCATTATGCATGGATTTAGTGTAACAGACAGCATTTGAACCATATACATTACAGACACAATACCTCCGTTTACGTGACCAGGCAACCTCTGCTGATGACAATTGACAAGTTGGGTAATCCTTTTCAAAACGTTAGTGAAGTATGTAGAAAAGTTGTACATCAAGTTGGGTACTACGCTGGCATCAAGTATCTCCAACTAAAAGGGTCAATAGCCATTCATGAGAACGTGCTGTGACCGTCAAGTGTTTATGGTTCTGCCGATGCCACTGTGAGAAGGAGGACAGGGGATTTCAAAAGAAAAGGGTTGAGTCTTGAGACATGGCTGTGGCTATGGCTGTGGCTGTGGCTGTGGCTGTGGGTGAGGCTGAGGCTGAGGCTGTGGCTGTGGCTGTGGCTGTGGATCTGGCTGTGGCTGTGGCTGAGGCTGTGTCTGTAGTTCTGGCTGTGGCTGTGGCTGAGGAAGAGGCTGTGGCTGTAGTTCTGGTTGTGGCTGTGGCTCTGGCTGTGGCTGTGGCTGTGGCTGAGGATGAGGTTGTGGTGGTGTCTGTGTCTGTGTCTGAGGTTGTGACTGTGGCTGAGGATGAGGCTGTGGTGGTGTCTGTGTCTGTGGCTGAGGATGAGGCTGTGGTTGTGACTGTGGCTGAGGATGAGGCTGTGGTGGTGTATGTGGCTGTGGCTGTGGCTGAGGATGAGGTTGTGGTGGTGTCTGTGTCTGTGGCTGAGGTTGTGACTGTGGCTGAGGATGAGGCTGTGGTGGTGTCTGTGTCTGTGGCTGAGGAAGAGGCTGTGGCTGTAGTTCTGGTTGTGGCTGTGGCTCTGGCTGTGGCTGTGGCTGTGGCTGAGGATGAGGTTGTGGTGGTGTCTGTGTCTGTGGCTGAGGTTGTGACTGTGGCTGAGGATGAGGCTGTGGTGGTGTCTGTGTCTGTGGCTGAGGATGAGGCTGTGGTTGTGACTGTGGCTGAGGATGAGGCTGTGGTGGTGTCTGTGGCTGTGGCTGTGGCTGAGGATGAGGTTGTGGTGGTGTCTGTGTCTGTGGCTGAGGTTGTGACTGTGGCTGAGGATGAGGCTGTGGTGGTGTCTGTGTCTGTGGCTGAGGATGAGGCTGTGGTTGTGACTGTGGCTGAGGATGAGGCTGTGGTGGTGTCTGTGGCTGAGGTTGTGACTGTGGCTGAGGATGAGGCTGTGGCTGTAGTTCTGGCTGTGGCTGTGGCTGAGGATGAGGCTGTGGCTGTAGTTCTGGTTGTGGTGGTGTGGCTCTGGCTCTGGCTGTGGCTGTGGCTGAGGCTGAGGCTGTGGTGGTGTCTGTGTCTGTGGCTGAGGCTGTGGTTGTGACTGTGGCTGAGGATGAGGCTGTGGTGGTGTCTGTGGCTGAGGTTGTGACTGTGGCTGAGGATGAGGCTGTGGCTGTAGTTCTGGCTGTGGCTGAGGATGAGGCTGTGGCTGTAGTTCTGGTTGTGGCTGTGGCTCTGGCTCTGGCTGTGGCTGTGGCTGAGGCTGTGGTGGTGTCTGTGTCTGTGGCTGAGGTTGTGACTGTGGCTGAGGATGAGGCTGTGGTGGTGTCTGTGGCTGAGGTTGTAACTGTGGCTGAGGATGAGGCTGTGGTGGTGTCTGTGGCTGAGGTTGTGTCTGTGGCTGAGGATGAGGCTGTGGTGGTGTCTGTGTCTGAGGTTGTGACTGTGGCTGAGGATGAGGCTGTGGTGGTGTCTGCGGCCGAGGATGAGGCTGTGGTGGTGTCTGTGTCTGAGGATGAGGCTGTGGTGGTGTCTGTGGCTGAGGATGAGGCTGTGGTTGTGGTTGTGTCTGTGGCAGAGGATGAGGCTGTGGTGGTGTCTGTGTCTGAGGTTGTGTCTGTGGCTGAGGATGAGGCTGTGGTGGTGTCTGTGGCTGAGGTTGTGACTGTGGCTGAGGATGAGGCTGTGGTGGTGTCCGTTGCTGAGGATGAGGCTGTGGTGGTGTCTCTGGCTGAGGATGAGGCTGTGGTTGTGGTTGTTGCTGTGGCAGAGGATGAGGCTGTGGTGGTGTCTGTGTCTGAGGTTGTGTCTGTGGCTGAGGATGAGGCTGTGGTGGTGTCTGTGGCTGAGGTTGTGTCTGTGGCTGAGGATGAGGCTGTGGTTGTGGTTGTGGCTGTGGCTGAGGATGAGGCTGTGGTTGTGGCTGTGGCTGTGGCTGAGGATGAGGCTGTGGTTGCGGCTGTGGTTGTGACTGTGACTGTGGTATGGCAGTGGCTGTGGCTATAGCTGTGCCTGAGGATGAGGCTGTGGCTGATGCTGTGGCTGAGGCTGAGGCTGAGGCTGTGGCTGAGGATGAGGCTGTGGTGGTGTCTGTGGCTGGGGATGAGGCTGTGGTTGTGGTTTTTGCTGTGGTAGAAGATGAGGCTGTGGTTGTGGTTGTGTCTGTGGCTGTGTTTGTGGCTGTGGCTATGGCTGTGGTTGTGGTTGTGGCTGTGGTAGAGGATGAGGCTGTGGTTGTGGTGGTGTCTGTGGCTGTGTTTGTGACTGTGGCTATGGCTGTGGCTGAGGCTGTGACTGTGGTTGTGGCTGTGGCAGAGGATGAGGCTGTGGTTGTGGTGGTGTCTGTGGTTGTGTCTGTGGCTGAGGCTGTGACTGTGGTTGTGGCTGTGGCAGAGGATGAGGCTGTGGTTGTGTCTGTGGCTGAGGTTGTGTCTGTGTCTGTGATTCACCGTATGATTTTACATCATGTAATTTCCACCTCTTCCCAAACATATAATATTATAATGGTGATCATAAAGTCCCTGTATCGAGTGCATGGTCAAGGCGCTGGACATCATTACCCCGGTTAACCTAAGATGCCTGTGAGGCGCCCACCAGGTTCCCATTCACTGCTGGGTGACAAGAGGTCATTTTGAACAAACTCACATGTGATACTACATGTGCTTCGTTGTGGAGCAACGAAATACTAGAAATGCTCAGGAGTCAAGTTGCCGGACACGGTCACCCAGCTCGAAGTGACCAACGTACCTAAACTGCAACTGATTTGTGACCTGGGCTCTATTCAGCATCACGTAACGTTAAGACATAACATCTGGCAACGTTGTTCAAATGGTCATGACGCCATTCCAGCTATGTGCCAGCCTTTTACACCAGTTGGATTCAACAGAAGCGTGTGAACCTCAGAACTGATTGTTTTGAATATCAATTTGGAAATCCAATTTGGATTTTTAATTTAGAAATCCAACACAGACCATCGTCGTTAAGACTCGGAGTTTTAAAGCCACAACTTGTAATGAAAATAATCGACGAAACCCTTCCATATTTATCAGAAATCTCTGCCAAAAGCAGATTCGATTGTAACACGACACCCTATTAGTTACATGGCGTGGACAGGCATTTATCATGGCACATTCTTACATCGAGTAGCCACGGAGACAAATGTTCTGAGATTTATTTCCTGCAATCGGTTACGAAGTAATTTTCCATTTAATTTTCTCATTGTATGATAAACAATATGAACATCTGGTGTATTTGGAGTAATTCAGCATTTGAATATTTATTATGAACGTTCCAGATCTACTTGTTGGTTGCTAACTAAAAACTAAGTATCACGCATCTTAAAATAAGAATCCTTCACTCTTTAAAAACATAAAGGCACACGAATGATTTCCCAACAAAAATGTTTTCAACATTATAAGGTTTCAAAACTTGCAAAGATGCAAGCGGGATTCGAAGCATAAATCGAAATCTTCATCTTCATTAAGAGCGAGTATCAATACATCATTGATCAATTCAGCATTATTTCCAGGCTCCACCTCATCCTTTTCCTCAAATATCCAATTTACTGATGCCATCCTTTAGCTTAGCCTCATTTCTAAAATTATCTTTGTTACATCTCATCTTCGAGAATAGTACGGAAGCATGGCTTTGTTACCAAGGACAAACCCGCATTATCTATATAAACTATGATTAACAAAGATAAAACCACAGTTCCGTTCTTTCATGTAGAAAGGATGGATATTATCAAAAGATTTGGGCTTTTAGGTCAGTACACTACAGAAAGCAATTGTTTCCGAGTTGAACTGCTTAGAGCGAAAGCGGGAAATGACATACATTTTATACATATGAGAGAGATTACACACTGAATCATTTCATGTCTATCTAACGTTTAGATCATGCTGATAGGTGTATTCCTCTAAATATGAAGGGAGTACGATTACACGTTTCAAACACTCACAAAGGACGTCAGGCATTTCCCTATTTTGACTTGTACCATTATGTTACTCTATCTTTTTCAGTTAATGATTAATTGACTTGCCTCTGTATGTGTTTGTGATGGATAAGCATAAGCTGGCCGTTTCCCAAACACCAGGAAAGGACTTGAGACATTTTCCTATTTTAACTTGTGCGAAACAGTCCTGTGATTTTCAATTTATGTGAACAATTGACTTGCCTTTGCCTGTGTTTCCGACAAGTGTTGCCAGTGGAGTACGCTCAGTTTTTCACGAAAATATAATCTATACTGATTCAAAAACACATGTTCATGATACTGTGGGAATTGCCGAAGCGTTTTTGGTTTTAGTAGTGATTACGATTATGGAAAGGATTGCCGCTTTCATTGTACATAGAGTCTCGCGTAGTCTGCAAATCTACAGCCGACAACCGTTTGGGGGAGTGTTTACCTACATCCTAGACGATCTCTGGTTTTTATGTGTTTCTTAACTCCATCCTCAACTAGAAGGAGCAGGTGGGCAAACGTTATGCTGAGCTGAGAGCATTGACATTGCAGGACAATGATGGAAACACGAATTGAATACACTGATTATATGACGCGAAGGACTGCTAATGGTCGACGAAACTGACCTCCGGTGCAATAATGTTACCAATTAGACTCAGACAAGGCTTGATTTAACACGACAAGGGTCAAATTTCACGTTAAGTGTGACCGGCATGCAGATCTCCCTGGCACCAGGACGTGTGCAGAATTTCTAATTTCGTTCAGTGATCTGACACAAGTTCTGATGTTGCTGTCAAAACAAAAGCGAAATTCAGGAGACAAACATTCGGTCCCTGACTTCCTTTACAAGGACTGCATCAATGGCTGACATGTTTGGTTCACATTCATTTGCCACTTAAGTAAAAACGTCAGTGGTGTAATGTTATTTCTTCTTCATGAAATGTGACAGTAGTGTGTGGATTTATTTTGTTCTTTGTATCAGATTGCACAAGATGTTTTGTAGTAAAGAAACTGTGTTCATTACAATCCCTTGTTACCTGACTGTGACAAAAGTGTACATTTCATCTGCTTCCTCCTTGGGAAAATGCTGCCAGAGACGTTATGAAATTTCATCCCACCTGGTGCACAGAAACTGCTACATGATCAGGGTACAGTAACGTAAATTAACTTGCATAAGAGGGCACCTGTTTCTATAACAACGGTTTCAGCATTGCTTGTTTGTCGCACTTTGCAATAATCCCGCTGTCTGTAAATAATCCAGTCATCGTATCCCAATTGTGTAGATCGATGCTCATGCTGTTGATCACTGCATAGTCTGGTCCAGACTCGATTATTTACAGACTACCGTCATATAGCTGGAATATTGCTGAGGGTGGCCTTTAACAACAAACCAACCAATCAACCAAAAGGAGAGTTGATCGTACAATTCCGACTATATCATGAGCGTTATGTGTATGAATCACTTTGAAACAGTCATGATACCGGGTGTACAAAAACATTTTGAAGCTTTACTGAGGCCGCTTACTGATCAAGGACCGAAAAATACTTTTAGAAATATTGGAAACAGAGTTGGTTTGATTGTTACTTAAAAGGTGTAAAATGTTAACACCTGAGGCTTGGTCCTGACTACTATTGCTAGACGTGAAGGGAATCTGCCTGATAGAAAGATGAGTGTGTGTTAACCTTCACTAACAATTCATTAACGTGTACAATGAATAGGAGAATTATCACCTGTCTCCCAAATCCAAATAAGGATAGAAAATTGTTAAACAACAGGCGCCCAATCTCATTGCTCAATGCTTTATATAAAATAATCAGCTCATGTAATGCAAATAGACTGAAAAACCTTGAATATTGTCATACATGAGAATCAAACAGGATTTATTCCTGGTAGATGTATAAGTGAAAACACCAGGATGCTCTATGATATTATTTTTGAAACTAAACGAATATACAAACCAGGCTTGTTTCTCTTAATTGACTTTGAAAACTATTTGATACTGTCTCCAAATCTTTTTTGATTCAGTTATTGAACAAATTCGGTTTTGGTCCAAACATTGTAAAATGGGTAAAAATCTTAACCCCAAATACAACAGCAACAGTTATACAAAATGGACATCTGTCATCTTTTTTCAGACTTGAAAGGGAATGTAGACAGTGAGACCCCATTCCACCGTACTTATTCATTCTTGCAGTTGAAATATTAGGTACTATGATAAGGACAAATCCGGACATAAAGGGCATAACGCTTAATGATACTGAACATAATCTAGGACAGTAATTATGCTGACGATCCTCAGTTATTTCTAGAAGGATTTGAAAAAAGCCTCACTGCAGCAATTGAAACACTGAACAAATTTCACCAAAACTCAGGACTCAAAATGAACATAGATAAAACCAAGGCTATTTGTATTGGTTCAATGTCTGAAAGTAGAACATATCAATAGATTACTTGCCAACTGGCGCAGAAGAAATTTTACTCTTATTGGAAAAATCACTGTTATTGAAACTTTGTACACATTTGCTCTGCACTGCCCAACCCAGATTTTTATGAAAACTAAAGACGACAAAATAAAGAGATCAACTATAAACAGAGGTTATCAAGATGGAGGTCTCAGAATGAGCGATATAGAATGTTTCCTTAATGCTTTGAAATTATCTTCACTGAAAAACTATATAAACAAAAATAAAGAATCGATAAACATCTTTTTTGGTAATTTATTTATTCTTACTTGGCTCCAATGCTGTTGACTGTTTATCTGACCATGATAATTATTGAAGAGACGTTTTATCTGCTTGGAGAATATTCTATAGGAATATTACTTTTGAGGGAAATGATGTAGACCAAATCTTGACTCAACCACTTTGGTTGAACCATTTATGAAATCATCATATATTATAGAAAACTGGTTTAGTCGCGGAATACTTAGTATAGAAGATATATTTGATGAAAATGGCTTTCTAAGTTTTGAAAATTTAAAACAGAGATACAAAATACAGGAACTTTCTTAGACTATCAACACTTGTTAAACAACATTCCAAATAACTGGAGATATCAGATAAGAAACACATCATTTACATTCGATCAACCACATATTAATAATATAATTATGCAAATATTCATTATCTGTAATGCTAAAGGCTCAAGGATATTCTATGACGAACTAATTAAGAATGATTCTACACTCAAGTCCTTAGAATATTGGAACACTGTCTTTCAACATGAGATTGACTGGAAAGATGTATTTAGCTATTATAGGAAATTTACAAATGGCTGTATGTTCTTAGACTTTCAATACAGATTTATAAACAGAATAATTTATACAAAAAAGGAATTATTGATAATGAAGTTGGTTGATGATGATACATGTACATTTTGTAAAACCGCCTCAGAAGATGTATCACATGTCTTCTTTGAATGTCAATTTGTTCGGAACTTTTGGCTTAAACCTAAGAATTCCTTAATAATAACCTCCAAACCAATATGACACTATCTAAATTAATCATTATGTTGGGACCGCCCTTAAATAACCAAGTAGTAAATCACATTTTACTACTTGCAAAAATATTAATCTATACTTCAAGCTTTAAAGATCACATATACTCTAGGGGGTTCAAATACATAAATCACTAATTGACATCGTTATAAATGAAACCCAGTCATAAATAAAACTACTCATTTCGATCTTTAAATAACTTAAATCGACCTTTTTGACAACAGTGCACAATTCTCACCCGCGAACGAAATTTCAACCAATCAGAGCGGCGCGTCTCTGTGACGTCATATGAGGAATAGATATGAGGGCCGATGCAGAATTCATGTACATTTCAGGGGGTAAATTATCTTGTTTACAGGTTTGTATAAACCTGAAATCGTGACAACTGTTGTGGAAAATGAAAGCTATATGTTCTCACAATCTACTGTCATTTAATTTTGTCTCCTGCTTTGCCTAGTTTCCGAGTTACAACTTGTTTTCATAGACGATTCTGTCAAAGTCGGTTGGTGTCGCTTGGCCTTATTTGTTCGAGCTAGACGCTAGTGATAGTGAAAAAACGATTATCAGCCTCGCTGATCAGGGTTACGGTTAATTTCTTCAACCTAAACAGTGCGACATTAAGGAGGGTGGATGCCCATCAGATGCAGTAATTTGAAAATATCCCCGGTAATTCTTGTTTGATTGTAATAAGATATCAAAGCAGTGTGGGCTTTTTTCAGGTTTTCTAGTGCGTGGATGGTATAATGACTGATAAAATTGATCCCATTTCTGTGAGTTTTTTTAACCTCGATATTTAATCATGTCATGTAAAAATATGACGTCTATTAAGTATAATCAAAAATTGACATTTGATTTATTTGAATCCGTAAACTAAACAACCCTACTTTGCCATTGATAAAAGAATCTGAAAATTTACTTAGGTAAATAGGTACATACAGTTTTAGCACACAGCAAATGCTTATATGTATTCCTTATGCAACAATGAAGTTCTGTTCATATTCACAAAACAGTATCGGCCCATAAGTTTTCACATGCAATTAAAATTGCATGCAATACACCAATTAATACTCCCTTGTAGTAACCCGTGTTAAGTGGTACAAACCTACACATGTTATTTGTCATCATTCAATTGATGGTCAGGTAATGAAATTATAACAGGTATAATTAGTGGTAACACCACTTAGATTACCCGACAAAGGTTCCCATTTGGCATCTCTTGTGTCTGGAGTAAATACTCAACATTATAAACCACTCTTGCTCTATAACGGTATGAGAAGCTATACCAAAAAGTCGCATCATATCAAATAAAGAAGTTGTTATCCATAAAGTATTATACTTTTCCATTATCCATCAACTTCTAAAATGCCAATCAAACAGATTAAAAACATCGATCAAAGGATTAACCGGAAATAGCTGATTGATTAATTACTTTTATCTTGCACAGCGGATTTGTCAAAAGGTAGTGTTTATGTATGTACATTTACTAATCTATACTGAATACACTCTGTCGTGTCTGTGTAAAAACAACGTCCTTCTTTCAAAGGATTAACCGCTAATACATTGATTGATTGCTCATTATTGGCTAACTAAATTACTTTTTTTTAAAGAATGGTGGACATTATGCAATTAGTTGCCAGGTGTGCTATCTTGGGTGACCAATGAGACTATACACCAATGTGGAATACCTGAAACGATATATCAATTTTTCGTATATTAGACTGTTAAAAGACACATCACTTTGAACAGATGCAGATGAATGGCATATCACTCGTTTTTGTGGATATTGATGCATACATTCCTCGAACAAGGTAATAGCCTGACATTGTTCCTATAACTTTAATCTGTTTTAATTTTAATATTTGCATTTTGTTTTTATTCATTTGTCGTAGGATTCAACAGAATCATTGTTTTTCGCCGTGAAGAGTTATGTGACAGACAACATACACCAGGGCGTGTGTGCGAATTATGATTCACATTGGATAACTATAAAATGTCTAGATATTACAGTCCTGTTATAAATTCACTATAAGTATCAGCATATCGTCTGCTTTTTATTTAGTTTCAAAATGCATACAGGTA